GAGGGTTAAAAAAAACTAAGTTGAACTAGAAGTGCAAAAGGTAAAAAATTAAAGTTAACACAGTGAGCAGTTTATCAGGCAGAGGATACCTCCAGTTTATCAGTGAAGAGAGATAAATAATTGTAACTGATTTATTGAGTTTCTTTTTGTAAGATTGATTTTTATTTCTTAAAGGAGACTCAAGGACTGTACTTACAGCCAGTGCAGGGATTTCAATTACAGTTACCCATGCCTTTTAAAAATAACTAGCATCAAAGTTAAAGTTTGTTTCTTTCATCTGTTGTATTTTAACTGAAGGATCCTTAAAAACTTTTAAGCATTTTAAGTGTTCTGGTAAGTGTTCAGCAAGGCTTTTGACACTGTCTCCCATCACATCCTTGTAGGTAAACCCAGGAAGTGTGGGGTAGATGAGTGGATGGTGAGATGGATTGAGAACTGGCTGGATGGCCGAGCTCAGAGGGTTGTGGTGAATGGCGCAGAGTCAAGATGGAGGCCTGTAGCTAGTAGTGTCCCCCAGGGGTCAGTCCTGGGTCCAGTCTTGTTCAATGTATTCATCAATGACCTGGATGAAGGCACAGAGTGCACCCTCAGCAAGTTTGCTGATGATACTAAACTGGAAGGAGTGGCTGACACACCAGAAGGCTGTGCTGCCATTCAGAGGGACCTGGACAGGCTGGAGAGCTGGGCAGAGAGGAACCTCCTGAAGTTCAACAAAGGCAAGTGCAAGGTCCTGCCCCTGGGGAGGAATAATCCCATGCAGCAGGACAGGCTGGGGGTTGCCCTGCTGGAAAGTATCTCTGCCGAGAAGGACCTGGGAGTGCTGGTGGACAACAAGTTAAACATGAGCCAGCAGTGTGCCCTTGTGGCCAAGAAACCAAGATGATTAGAGGGCTGGAGCACCTCTCCTATGAAGAAAGACTGCGAGAGCTGGGCCTGTTCAGCCTGGAGAAGAGAAGATTGAGAGGGGATCTCATTGAGGTGTATAAGTATCTGAAAGGGGGGTTTCAAGAGGATGGGGCCAGTCTCTTCTCCGTGGTGCCCAGCAACAGGACAAGAGGCAAGGGGCAGAAACTGAACCACAGGAAGTTCCACCTAAACCTGAGAAAAAACTTCTTGACTGTGAGGGTGACAGAGCACGGGCACAGGTTGCCCAGAGAAGTAGTGGAGTCTCCTTCCCTGGAGATATTCAAAACCTGTCTGGATCCTGGGCAATATGCTCTAGGTGACCCCTGCTTGAGCAGGGAGGTTGGACTAGATGATCTCCAGAGGTCCCTTCCAACCTCAGCCATTCTGTGATTCTGTGAAGGAAAGGAAAGATACCACTAGATGGCATTTTTAATCTAGTTTTTACAGCTATTCACTTTCAGACCCTATCCTAAATATAAGGCCTTGTGTTTTTTCAGTCTTGACAAATATTACATACATAATATTACAGTCTTGATCATATTACAAGTTAGGCTAAGTCTTGTTGAAGTAATTAAGATTCAGCTGCTACTCTTCTTTCAAGACAGTTGTTAAAAGATAAATAAGTATAGTACACGTTTCAGAATTTGAATAACCTTGAGAGAGGAACTTTGCTGAGTATTGTTTAGACAGAGGTCTGTGCAGAGGAAAAGAGTTCAGAACAGAAGCAGAGAATATGAGGTTTCAGCAAATCCTCAAAAAGCACTCATACATAGCACAGGTATTTGGCCCTATGAAAAGCCTTTGAAGGGAACATTTGTGTCAGAGGTGCTAGCTAAAATACTCTTAGCTAAGACTTCAGACAAGCAAACTGCTATTAGTTGCTTGATTCCTATGGTCTTACACAATGTAACACTCCTGTAAATTGATGGTCATGTCTGTATACAGAGACACCAAATTTTAGCTCAGATCAAAAGTGGTGATAATAGTTGTTTGTACTTGCATAGTTACTATCCTCTGAGGGTCACAAAGCGTATTGTAAATACAGTATACACACTCTCAAGTTCATTATCCTCATCTCACGGATAACAAGATAAGATAGTGTTGGTAAAAGGAATCAAGGAGTTCTTGCTATGAGGCTCTCAAGTTAACTGTATTTCAGCCAACATATTAACAAGTCAAGATTTTACATATAGAATACAAATGAACATGAGCTCTTATTCTGAAGGATATCATTACTGGGAGAACTTTGCTAAATGAAAAAGAATCATCAAGTGAGGCTTTTCATGTTACCCCTTCTGAAAAATAGCTTAGATTGGTGATTTGTAGTCTTGTGGGGAATAGTTTTATCATTATCAGTTTTGCTATGTTCTTTCTGGAGGACTATATTTTTAGTCATAGGGAAAAGATAGCACACTAAGATTTAATCTAATTGAATACTGTATCTTCATTACACTGATTATATTCTTCCTTGACTATACAATCAAATTTGGTATTTCATATAATATTTTATATTTCATCCTATAATCTGAAAATAAGTGAAGTGCATTAACTTGTAAAATGTAGCATAAAGGTTTAAGATCATGTAAAAATTACATATTTGTGCTTTTTTAAATTAGAACATCAGCATTTCAAGAGGAAGCAAGGAATACAAAATATTTCCTATTATCACTAAATTTTATTTCACCATAGTAAGATGTATCATATTCTTTAATCACACAACTGAAAAACAGTAAATAAGAAAAATTATTTGTAAAAGAAGCTGTAAATATCTCCCAGAAACTCTGAATACCTTGTAGGATTCAACTTTTGAAGCTCTTTACAATAGCTAAGCTTTTACAATAACCTTGTGAGCCAAATATTATCCTTATGTTGTTGATGAGTAAACCACACTTAGAGAAGCTTAAGTAATGTGGTCAAGGTCACAGAATTCTGTGGACAAATAAGATTATTAGACCAAGTGGTTGTAGTTGGGAAGAAAGTGGACATACAAGTGAAATACAAGTCCTTCACTGTAGAATAAGGAAAGGAATCCAAACAGCCCCTTGCCCTGTGATTTTACTGATTAGGCTTTAACTTCTGCTTGAGAGACTCTGAAGGAGCAGAAACCTACTTAATTCTTAGCATTAAAGGAAAAAAAAAAATTGAAAATCTTGAGAAAGGACCTGCCATGGTGATATATGCACTAATACAGCATCAGTAATGATGGTTTGATTAAGTTTCTTAATGCATCCTTAAAACTGATCTATATAAACATATTATAAACTATGTATGTATATGAAGTATAAACATATAGTGTGATACCACTTATCGTATAGTTGCGACCATGATAGCATTTTAATTCACACGTGAGAGGGTTAAGAATTATCTGAATTTACATATACTATAGCATGTCAGGGTTGTGACATTGGAGGAAAGGCATCAAATCATTCCTTGATCTGAGACAGATGCATTGGTGACTTGCTTAAATCCTATTGGCTGAAGATACCAAGCAGTGTTTCTCTCCGAAGAGTACAAGGGGAGGGAAAAAACCCAACAACAACAAAAAACTGCTGTGGAAAGTGGTCTCTTCCTCCCCTTTCCCTCCATTGAGGTTGGGAGAAGTAGGCTGCTTCAAAATAAAGAGAGAGGAGATACATACATGATTTTAAAATCTTATTTATTTCATTTGTTAAATATGAAGGATTTTTCTGCAATACCTGTTTGCATTACTAGCCAGATTACATTCGTAATAGTTAAAATCATTGCATTTTGTAATGAATTTCCATTTCCTGTAGCATTTTGGGTGTAAGAATCTCAAATCTAAGCAATGCTGAATTAGCCTTCACAACATCCCTGTGAGATATCCTCATTTTAGAGAGGAGGAATCTGAGGAATGGAAAGGTTTAGTACAGTGTGCCTGAAAAACTATAGAAGAGTTGAGTCTAGAATCCTGGTCTTCTATTCTCCCTTTCTGTAAAGATTTGCCCATAATAGCTATTTCTCTCCTCTTCCCTTTTTTTTTTCTGCTTTCTTTCAAATTGTACAGCTTTGAAGGCTGGTAATCTAAGGGTAAGGTGGTAATCTAAGGTTGGGTAAGCTGATGAAAAAAGCATTAAGACATCAGCAATTCCTATGTGAAGTTACACAGAGTAAGCAAAACACTTGAAGCCCAGAATTAATTTAAACCACTTAAACTGTGAATAGTTACAGCTAACATCGCAGTATTTATTCCTGGGCAAAACAGAAGTCTGAAGAATTGTCACCAAAGCAGCAGAAGCAGTAATAATACTAAAGCATGGCTTTTCTGAAAGAACTTTCTTTTGAGGAGGTAAAAGTACTCAGGACTGATGAAACCTCATATCTATAGAGAACGTCCCTGACCTGCTTGCCGTAACTAGGAAATGGTTTGTACAGCAGCGCCCATTCAGTGCAGGTGATTTTTATCCATGTCAGTTCCTTAAAGCAAATGTCTACAATCTTTAGGAAAAAAAAAAACTGTATTGCAGGGCAAAGCACGTAGCTGAGGTAGAATTTGAACAATATCACGATAGCTACAAAATATATACCTGAATTGCTATAGACATTCTTTTCAACTAAAAGTAACGAGGACATTATAATTATGCATGCTGCACGGGCTAAGAATGAATGTTCAAACAATACTATGTAATAAAATGGCCTGCTTGTAAATTGTGAGAACATTTACATTATATTTATTTTAATTGATTTGAATCAATTATAGCATCATAGAACAGTAACTTTAAAACATGTGTGGCCATTTTTGTACCAGTGCTCATTGGAGGTAATGAACACCTTTTTCTTTAGTGCTACTGAAGCACGCTGTTAAGTGTCAAAAGTCAGAAAGAATACAGTGAAAGAAATTAACTCAGGGCACCTCA